TCGAGTGGAAGAAGGAGAAAGGCGAAACTGGAAACAGCTGTGCGAAGAGTTATCTGTATCTATCCTCTTCCTCCTCTCCTTCAGCTACTTTACCTTCGCTCTATTCATTCTGTATTCCTCTTTTACACATACCCTCTTTCTCTTTCCTTCTTCGTCTTTTCTCTCTCTCTCTCTCTCTCTCTCTCTCTCTCTCTCTCTCTCTCTCTCTCTCTCTCTCTCTCTCTCTTCTTTCCTTCTCCCTCTCACTCTTCCTCCTCTTCGTTTCTTTTCGTTGATCCGAATTTTTCTGCATGTCCTCCATTCAATAATGGGAAGTCGGATCTCTTGAAAGTTTTCCAATAATTCATTCGTATATATAAAGATCCCGATTATTTCAACATTATTTGAAATTAGAAATTTTTTTAACTCACGAAAATTTGCAAGTTTCGAAAAGGTTTTGGTATCCAGGAAATATTTTCTACAGAAGATTCGTTTAAACGTTTGCAATCTTTTAGTTTCTTTTTGAAGTTGTTGCCGGTGCTTATGTCACGTACAAAATAGAAATTGAAACGCGAATGTGAGGCGTTAAAAAAGCAACAAATAAAATATATGAAGCAGTTTCACGATTAGAGCAATCTTTCGATTTCGAATGGCATTCTAGACTTCGAAAAGCTTCGTCGTTGGAACGATTGTCGTGTATCCAACTTATCTCGAGCCCACGGCTATTGCCATCCCCACCTCGTGTCGTGCCGCGTGCTTCCGACAAAGTAAACCAGCGTGCACGTTATTTTGCAAGTATCTCGCGGAGTACTGTATGTAACAGAGTGCATGCTCGGGCGTAATTGGGATTCCTCCTTTCGCAAAGTTGGCTGCCGCTAGCTGCAACTGTTGCTCTGCCGTCGGAGTAGGTTATCGCCGCTGGCTTTCACCGACGCATAAGCAATGACAAGGAAAATGGATAAAATAGAAGAGCGTTTTGATCGGCCTGATTCTCCGCGGCTCCGCTAACGATTATACAAACGTTATCAGAGTGGGAAAGTGGAGTTACGTGAAGAGATAAGGTGGAAATATAAAGTGTAACTTCGCCAACTGGCTCCTTGCGACACCCCGCAATTCCGTCGAAGCGATAGTCCGAATATCACGAAGCTGCAGTGTTACAATTAAGATAAAAAATTACGGAAAATAATCCAAGCTAACTATCGGAAAAGTTATCCGTGCGAGATTCATTGCAACTTTGAATAATTGCAACGAGTTTATTACGAAAGAGAGAAATCAAACTGAACAGGGAGGACATATTTTGTCATTTCAAAGCGCGATACAAAATATCGCTCGAGGAATAAACCGTCCCTTTTTTTTTATTAACAAGCAACTCGTGTATTCCTCGTCATTTTGATTTAACGCAATTAAAATTGATTGAGAAAACACACGGGGGAACTTGAACGCGGGTCAGAACATGAGGCTTATGAATCGGAGAGATACAATTTCATTATTAATTCGCAGACATTCTTTGTGCATAAAGTCATCGGGACTTTTAAGCGGTGAAGCATGCGAAATGGGACGGGACGTGGCTGGATAGGGCAGAGCAGGCAGGGCACGGCGCGCAGGTATATGGCCACGTATTTTCGTGGCTGTCCGACTAAGCAGAGGAATATCCTGATGAGATTATAATGTGAATATAATGACAAGCTCCCGAGCTCCCGAGCTACGCGTCCCCCATACGGATCCGCTCTTTCGATTTCGTCTCGACCGAGCGCGCGATGACTATGCGCTTAATCCATAACGTACAGTCCGCTCCTCTCAAGGCTCGAATCAATCTCCGCGAAGGAGCCAATATAAACGAAGGAATAAAACAATGACGAACTCTCCAACGATTACATTGCTTATAAACCATCGTTCTTCTCGAGAGCAGGGGCTACTGCCGCGATTACGTTTCTTTTTCTCGCGTCTCTCTCTCCCTCTCCCCCTCCCCGCTCTTTCTCTCTTGGGAACAATTAAGATAATTACGACTATTTGCCACCGAGCCATTATTACAATCGAGATGATTTACGGCTAATTTTCGCGTGTATGTTGCAGGTGGATTCGTGAAATCGCAGGCGGAGGTTTCGGACGAAGGAATCTAGGTAAGTCACCTCTCTTTCCCTTCAATGTTTTTTTTGGCGCAACAACAATTAGTCTTCCTGTAATATAATTTAATTAAAGTATTTCCTGAATTTATTTCTCTTAAAATCATTCCCGCCGAATTCGTCGCTCACTGCTTAACTTATCAAAATGACAGTGTGGCAGAGTCGATATTACGAGTGCAATGGATCTTATCTTCTTCAATATTGCCTTAAACCTTTGAGAGTTTTGTATGAAGAAATTTTATTACATTTATTATTTGAACAAAGAATCACGCGCGGGTGTGATTTTGACTTGTAGTTGCGTGCCGTTTCCGCTGCTATGAAAGAGAGAGAGCTGCGTGCTCTTCGTTCGAAAGTATTCTTTGCGCTTTGATACGAAATTACATTGTGGACTAAAACTTCGAAATTAAAACATAGGGGCAATACCCCCCATCATTTTCAATCGTTTCCAACATAGCTGGGCTAAATAGATTAGATAAACCACCGAGCTATTTATATTGTTACGTAACGGAATTCTTAATCATTATCTCTCGTGTATCGTTACTTTCATTTGAGCAATTCTCACGTGCGCCGGCAGAAAGATTTGTCTCATGCAAAGAATGCAGATTATAATGAGAATGCAGGTCGCGACGACGCCGCAACGCGGTAATTTAATTGTCGACAACGTTAGAAGAGTCACACATCCGCATATGTTACAGCTTCGCATTGTCATAAATTAGACGAGGCTGTTCCACAGGTAGGTTACTGCCGTTTCTTGTAAAAAGAAACGAGTCTTTGACAAAATTTCCGAAAATGCATTGGTTCTTCGAGATGTCTCATTATTTACTATGCCAATACAGTGCATTTGCCGTTGGATAATGTTGGTTACAATAATATTCCATCCTATGGTTTTGTTATCCTATTTGGATCAAATCGTAGTCTTCATATAGATTGCTTGGCAGTGCTCGGCCTCTGGCTAATCCAATGCCAAACTATAATATTTAGTTAAAAGAAATCACGTTCTCCTAACAACAACCATAAAGCCTAGTAGTACCCTACTCTGGGAAGAAACATCAGGGTGTCCAGTGGTCAGGGAAATCTGGAGAACCGGGAATTGTCAGGGAATTTTAGAAATTGTGGGTCCCAAAATGGGTTCCTGTCTTTTTTTCCCAGAGTACTAGGATAAGCTTTATGGTTGTTGTTAGGAGAACGTGATTTCTTTTAACTAAATATTATAGTTTGGCATTGGATTAGCCAGAGGCCGAGCACTGCCAAGCAATCTATATGAA